ATCATTATAAAATAAAGCAGAATTTTTAAAATTCACATATAAGCTCTTACTTCAGACACTTTTAAAAAATGATACAGTGTATCATAGTTTTTAAAAGCCTGGGCTCTGGAGTCAGACTATCTGTATTAAAAGCCTAATTCTACTAATTAGCAAGTTTTAAAATCTTGGGTAAGTTACTTAACCTGTCTGTACCTGTTTCTTCATCTCTAAAATGAGGATGATAACAGATTAACCTCATAAGCAAATTATGAGAACTGAATGGTGAAATATGTAATATGCTTGTTTGGCACATGGTAATGAATACTCAATAAATGCTAATAATAACAATAAATACAAAGAAACTTCATTTAGAAGATATTGTGCAGATTATACATTCTTTTTTGATAATTACTATTTGTGAATAATTATTCAGGAATTATTTACTGAGTGTCTTCCATGTACTAGACTCTGTGCTAAGCGCTGGAGATACAAACCCATAAAACATTGTCCTTACTCACAAAAGATTTTTGGAGAAGAAAAATTGATCTGGTGATTAGTATACTATATGGTAAAAGCTTTAAAAGGAGTACAGAGCGTTTTATGGGGGTGTATAAAAGCAGAGGCATGAAAGCAGGTATGGCGTTAGGTTGGTCTCGTACATACTGCTAACCACCTTTTTCCTTTTGTCCTGGTCTCCCTTGCAGTGAAGGGTACTCAAGTTGACATTACTCTAGAGCAGCAATTTTCAACGTTTTATCTCATGGCACATTAAATGAAATTACTAAAATTCTGTAATTTCCACCAAAAAATTTATTTCTTGCTGATTTGACCAAAAAAAAAGAAGGTATAATTGTGATTCATTCATACCAGACAGCTATTGTTATGTTGGCTGGCATCATTTTTTAAATTTGACAATCTTAAGGGAAAAGAGGTCAGTGCCCCTGATGGAACAGTCAGATATTGCATGTTTTAAAAATTCTTGTGGCACACCAGTTGAAAATTGCTGCACTAGAGGTTGTAACTCTTAAGTTCCTGAAGTGGATTTTCAAAATGAAAGCAGGTGACCTGAAAATATAGATAGAGGTCTCCTAGAAGAAAGCCCTTCTGCCTTTTCTTCCTTCTTGCTGCCTCAGAACATAGAAGGCACGTTAAGTGCCGCGGCCATCAATGACATAACATGACAAAAGATGGCAGAGCAAAGAGGAAAGAGCATAGGACTCAGGTGGCATCACTCAGTTATTACACCACTTCCTGAAGGCCTAACTGTGGACTTACTAGATGACACAAACCCTTATTTCTTTAAACCACCACTAGCTGGAGTTTAATCTGCAGCTGAAGGCATTCCTAGTAGATAAATGAAGCTTTCTGAAAGTTTTTTGAACCAAGTTCAAAAGGAGATAGCAATTTATCCAAGTGAAGAAATCTGAGAAGGGCACAGCTGGCAGAGCATCCACAAAGACCTGGAGGGGCAGGAAGTATGGAGTGTTGATACTGGCATCTGTTCTACAAAATGAATCCTCTGGCTTCCTGGATGGCTTCAGCCAGGTGATTCCCAACCTTCTCCATCTTCCACTTCCTATGTTTGAGGGATCCAATACTGTCTCCTCAGTGGTTCTGTATGATGAACATTCATTTCCATCATATGAAATGGTAAGTTCTGTGATGAACATAAAATGTGATCCTTGACTAATGTTTAAACTTCTGGAAACAAATTTATGGCAATTAAGTCAGGAGATGCACATTATCAATTTATACATACAGTGTCTTCAACTGAGGCTGTCATGTGCGCTTACTATGTGCCTGTCAGGCACTGTATTTACACTAGTTATTTCATTTAATATTCACACCAACTCCATAGGTTAGGCACTATTTTCTTTTCTTTTTCACAGAACTAAATTAAGTGAAAACTGTCCTGAGTCAGGCAACAATGGCAATAATGGCTGGCGCAAAGATTCAATCTCAGGTCTATTTCATTCTACAGCCTTAGCTCTGAGCCACTGTGCTGTACTGCTAATCAGTTTCTCTGAGTTTCTGGCCTATAGGTCCCACTCCATTTGCTGACATCGTCCCTGAATCTGCACAATCAAGTTTTAGTTCCCCATCTGTACTCTGGGGACGGGAGTGGGGAGATTCAGGATGGTTCTCTCTCAATAAGAGAGTATGGAAGGAAGGGGCATACCTAAGCTGAGTAAAAGAGGAGAAAAGGAAAGGATGTTAGGAAAAAAACACAGGTATTTTTTTCCCTCTAAAGAAACGTGACAAGTTCCATTCTTACTGGCAAACTGTGAAGTAACTCCAAAAAATAAATTCTAATGTTTTAACAAATACATGGTCTCTAAAAGGCCTAAACTGAAGGTGGCAGCCCTTTTTAATATTTTAAATTGCAATTTGTTTAATAATTGATTCATTAGTTTCTACTCATTCATACATTCAACACATTCATACATTCAATCATCAACAAATATTTACTGGTCATCCTCATGTGTGACTCTGGCATAATCCAATGAATATGTTTCTATACATAAGCCAAAAACAAGTAAAAATGTTAAATATAATTCTCAGAGGGAAAGAAGGTGTATCAAATTCAGACCTAAGAAATCACAGACAGTTGTCCAGAGAGTATGATATTTAAGAAGAATCTTAAAATATAACCAGGTATAGTAAAAAAAATTAAAAGGGGGCGGAGGGGGGGATGGTGAGGTGCAGTGGGGGTCAGTCTAGACTGCTAGACCAGAGTTTATCAACTTCAACACCACTGGGAATTTTGGGCTGATAAGTCTGTTATGGGGTGATACTGTGTTTTGTAGGATGTTTAAACAGCATCCTTATCCATTACCCACTTGACACTGGTGGCACACTCTGAGTGTGAAAATCAAAAACATCTCTAGATATCGTCAAATGTCCCCGAGAGGCAAAGCTGCCTCCAGTTGAAAAACACTATTCTACACCAGTGCTATCCAAAATGGTCTCCACTACCAACATGTGGCTACTTAACTTCAAATTAATTAAAATTAAATTAGAAGTTCAGTTCCTCACATTAGCCACATTTAAAGTACTAAACTGCTACATGTGATTAGCGGCTACCATGCTGAATAGTGCATATAGAAAATACTTTTACCACCACAGAGTGTTCTAATTAACAATGCTGTCTAGACTGAGAGAGTATATAATCTCTTCTCTAACTCTGCAAATGTTCTCTACAGCTTGCTGCAAGCCTATGGAAGGAGTGGAGAAACATGAGGTCAAACAAGAAAAGTAAGGCCTCAGGGTGAAGGGTCTTCAGTACCTTAAGACAGAACAATGGGAAGCCAGTGAAAAGTTTTAGGCAAGGGTGTCAAATAAATAGACTCACATTTTGCACCGATAGATGGCTGTGATGGTACTGTGGAGAGTGAGATCAAAGTGGAGAAACCAGAAGCAGAAAATCAGCTCTGGCAATTCCAACAAGTATGCTGATCTGGATGAAGGTCGTAGGAGTGGGGATGGACGGAAATGGGGCAATTAAGGAGGCAGAATTGATAGGACTTGGTGAACGACTAAATGTGAGGTAGGCCGAGGAAGAGGATGAAGTAAAAAATAACTATCAGGTGTGTTTTTAAAAAGATTTCATTTGTTTATTTTTAGAGAGAGGGGAAAGGAGGAAGAAAGAGAGGGAGAGAAACACTGATCAGTTGTCTCTCAGAGATGTCCCAACTGGGGACCAAATCCACAACCCAGGCATGTGCCCTGACCAGGAAATGAACCGGTGATCTTGAGCTTTGTGGGATGGTGTCAACCAAATGGCTCATGCCAGTCAAGGCATGACTACCAAGTTTTTAGGGTTGGTGAGTGAGTCCACTCACTAATACAGTATGGTAAAGAATAATGGCCCTCCGAGATGTTCATGTCCTAATCATCTAAACCCCAGAACCTGCGAATCTGTTACCCTATATGACAAAGGGCCTTTGCAGATATGAGTAAATTAAGGACTTGGAGATGGGAGATTATCCTGAATTATCTAGTAGGCCCAATGCAATCACAAGTGTCCTGATAAGAGGGAGACAGGGTGGTAGCTAGAGAAGGGTTGTGAAAAGTATTATTATTATAGATGGGGAAATATTAAACATTTAACTACTAATGAAAAAAGGTGATTTTTTTAAGTAAACGCAAAAGCATCAGTTTCTTCATTTGCAAAAGGGAGTTAACAAGATTATCCACTTCAGAGGGTTACTGTGAAGCAACAAAAAGTTAGCTTATAAGGAAGACCCAAATCTGAATGAAAAAATTCTTCTGTCACAAGTAGAAAAAAGAGAACTAACTCCAATGACACTTGGAGGAATCTACCAGTGCAGTCATGGAATATTCTACAACCTAAGGAGTATTCCATCAGCAGATTCATGAAAGTCAGTACTATTCCAGTAGCTCTAGTAGCTGCATACTTCTTCCCTCATGAAGTTACGAGAAGACCTAAAGAACTACAAATACCATCTAAATTTAAACTATTATTATGGTGGCTTTAATTCCTGAGGGCCAGCAATCCAAATGTGAAGAGTATATTATAGCAACAAAAACTAGCCCATGAAGCATATTAAAAAAGCTTTCATTTAAACAAATTAAGAGTTCTGTTAGTACAACCTAAACTTAAACTATCATTGCAGCATCAATTTTCAGTCTAGTAACCCAAATATGACAAAATATGCTATGCCAACAACACTAACCCATCAAACATCTTAAATCTTATCTTTAAACAAATTCTTTAGAGTTATTAGCACAGAAAAATAAATATCCACTTGGTCAAATGCTTAAGTGAGTTTAGTTTAAGTTTCAAAAACTTGCAATTACCTCAGATTTTGATTTCATTATTGATGAAATAGAGGAAAGTAGGTGGCTTACAGCCAGTTCATCCCTTGGGTTGTAATTAAATGTCAAATTTTATTCACTAAAATTGGATTAGATTTAAAATATTGACTCAAGAAAAATATATTTTATATAATGGTAAAGCCTTATTACAAAAGAATTTTAAGATTAGTTATTTTACTTACCAAAATGCAGTCCACTTTAGATTGTACAGTTTTGCTGAAAGAAAAAGAAGGTTAGGTTAATATGAATGATAAATTTATTAGATATCTGAAATATCTCAAACAGATATGGTAATTAGTCTTCCCTAACTATGAAAAAAATAATTAAAAACTCCTTATTAGGATAAGGTATTGTATCTAAAACTGTATTTTTAACAAATTAAAAAAAAAGTATTGCCCATTCACTGTACTATACTGAATCTCAAAGCACAGAGTATTTTTCAAATTCACTGCTATAGTCAACCTTTGTCATTGCACAGTATTGTTTTAACAGATATTCTGCATAAACAAGTTTTTAATGATATATAAAAGTATAGATGTATTATTATACTTAGATATAGAACACAAGAGTTTATAATGAATTATGATTTTACTGTATGCCTGCTATCCTGGACAATAATTTGTTTAGTATTTAAAAGGCATAATGCTGTAATGTTATCTGTAGTTCTATAAAGACTTGTTATAAAATAGATTCTCCCACACTCTCTCTCATGTATACACACATACACACACACTGGCAAAGGATTCCCTAGCCATAAAAGTAGTAACAAAGATTAACTAATATGGTAATAAATTAGAGGGAAAGAATATATTTAGAAATAAATAACACAAATAAAGCCAGTATATGTTTATTTAAGTGAGCTACTAAATATGTGAACTATTAACATATAACTGAACTATTTTATACAAATGAAGCCTGTATAAAATAGTTCAGTTATATGTAATAGTATTTGTATTAATGAAGTCTGTATAAAATAACTGAATTGTCATTTGGATTTTGTTACAACACATTAAAATAAAAATGCAATGAAATCATTCAAGTCTAAAAATAGTTTCTATAAATTTTAAAAGATGTTAATGTTCAGATCCAAATAAATGTCAAAAAAAGTGGTTATTTGCCTTTGTATATATAGTACATAAAAATCAGCATTTAAATCCTGTTTGTTTGCAATTAATAACCTCAAAACTTTACATCTGTACTCAGATTTCAAATTTCATTTTTTAAAAAATACAAAGTATGACTGAATTAAGTACAATTATAAAATTCAGAAAGACTAAAATGAAGAGAGTATATCTGTATAGCTTACTACCCATTAATTGCTAAAGTGTGCTATTTTTCTCTTCTTAATAACTCCCAGTTTCCCTCAGATAATAGAGAAATCTATAGATTAAGAATTGCTGCTAAAATGTAATATATCAAGTATCCAACCACTCTTACCACCTGACTATAAACTATCATCATTTCCTGTCTAAAATGTTATAATAACCTTCTAACTAGTTTCCTGCTTCTGTTTTTATTCTGCCAATGACGAGCTATTCTCAACAAAGCAACCAGAGTGATTCTCTGTCCAAACCAGGTTCGCCCTCTGCTCCACAGTCTGTAACATGGCCAGCAAAGCTCCGATGGTTCATCCCTCCGCTATCTAACTTCATCTCCTACTAGTCTATTACTCACTCATTCAGCTCCTGCCACACTGGCCTCCATGCTACTTCTCAAGGAAGGAGCAGGGCCTTTGCTCTAGCTTTTTCCGACAGCTGCTGACACTCTTTAAAATTTTCCCATATAACCTACCAGTTCACTTTCTTTGTGACTTTGTTTGATGTTATCTTTTACAGACAGTTCTTCCCTGACTAACTCATTTCAAATTCTCCCCTTCACTATCCTCTTCCTCTGTTTTAGTTTTCATCATTGTACTTATCACCAGCCATTTTATATTTTTATTAATTTATATGTATGTTGACTATCTTTCTCAACTAGAACTTAGATTCCTTGAAAGAAGGCTCTGTCTGTTTTGTTCACTGCTATATTATCATCTGGCACGTTAGGTGTCCAATAAAATCTGCTGAATGAATAAATGTCAAAAAACATATTCAGTGTCCCATATGAAGAAAACTCAGGAAAGACTGGGGACCATGTAAGAAAAAAGTTTTAAGAGAAATTACTATGAAATTTAAAAAGTGATTTTTTTAAAAAGAAGATCTAACTATATTCTCCTTCTACCAGAAACAAACTGCTGTATGGTATATCTAAAGAGGACAGCTATGTCTTCCTATCACAAACAAACAGCTTGGTAAATATCTAAAAAGTATACTACATAAAAGACACTTTTAAAAGAATCAACTTATAAAGTAAAATGAGAATATATCTGAGTTAGATATGAACTTTGGCAATCACTTAATCTAGCACTTTGATTATTTCTATTTCATACTTAATACTAGAGGGATATAGATGAAATTTAAGTCTCCTTAGTTCTTCTGTCTAGTCTCATTACCCACCCTCCCACCTTTTTAGATGACCATCTGATATATAACCTTCACAGCTGATATTTCAATACTTGTATTATATATGTACAAATGTCTATAAGCCTCATATAGTGCTGTTCAGTGAAGCTGTTAAATGTTTATATAAATGCCATTATAGTGTATGTATTCTGCAACTGTGTTTTTTCGTTCAACATTGTTTTTGAGATCTATCCATGTTGATACATTTTGATGAAGCTTTAACTGCTAAAAAATATTCCAATGACTATATCAAATTTATTCATCCATTTCTCTACTGAAAGTCAATTACGTACTTTCCAGTTTTTCTGCAAACAATGCTGTTTTTGTACATGTCTTCTGGTATAAACATGCCAAAATTTCTCAGTTATAAATCTAGAAGTTGATTTTCAGGGACTCAGAGATGTATCCTTTCAATTTTATTATATATTACCAAATTTCTCTCCCAAGCACTTGCATCCATTTATACTTCTATCAGCACTAAATGATAGTCCCTATTTTCCTACTACCTGTGTAAATATATATACATGCCATTAATACATAATATATAAAATACACATATTAAAAACCTGCCATTCTAACATAAAATTTTTAATTTGTCATTTTCCTAAATCACCAGCAATGCTGTGTACCTTTCCATCTTACTGGCTATATGGGTTTTCTCTTCCATAAATTTCTGGTTCATAACTTTTGCCCATTTTTAAGTGGACTTAACTTTCTTGAACTATATTTTGGATATTAATCCTGTTACATATACTTAACTTTGTTAATGACATATTTTAGTATCTTATGAAATGTAAATAGTAATATTTACTAAAGTTTAAATTTTTTATTGAATCAAATTTATTAATTTTTTTCTTTATGGCTTGTGTTTTTTTGTCTTAAAAAATTCTACCTAGCAAAGATGTTAAAGACATTCTATACTTCATTGCAAAATTTTTTTAAGTTAGTGTTTTCAATTTTGATATTTATTTTAGTTAGGACCTATTCTTGTGGTATGGTATAATACATACATTTTGTCTATCTTACAAGCCAACTGTTTCCTATTTTATTAAGCCAAATTTCCATACATATTTAAATGTGTTTCTGGATTTCTTGTTTTATTATTAACATACTTATCTATCCTTGAGCTAACATAACACTTGGAATTTATTAGTGCTTTAAAATTAGGTCTAGTTATTTGCTTGCGTGACTCTCCTTGGCCACTTTCGGAACAGTCTTGATAATTCTTGGACCTATAATTTTCCAGGTGAGTTTTTTGGCTGTTCCAATTCCACAAATGTCCTGTTAAGATTTCCATTGAACTGTACTGATATCATAGATTGAACTGACGGAGTTGATTAATAATTTGAACTTATTTTTGTCTGTCCTTAAAAATGCCTTGTAATTTTCTCTTCACCTTTTGTTAAAAGAGTCCTAGGTAACTTACAAATATTGTGAATAGTATCTTTTTTCTTATTGTAATTCGAACTGGTTTTTGCTGATGTGCAGAAAAACTATTAGTTTTCTATACTGACTTTATATTCAGCAGTCTTCCTAAACTCTTACTAGTTCAAACAGTATGGAGAGTCTCTTGTAGGTAATAATTTCATAATGAAAATATTTTCCTTCATTTCCATTCTTTACACCTCTTCCCCAACTCCTTTTTACTATCTAACTAATTTGGCTAAAATCCTCGATCTAATGGTGAAGAGACGCAGTTACAGCTGACATCTTTGTTCTGTTTTCAAATTGTGTTTCAAAATTTTAACATGATGCATTGTAATGTTCCATTTAGTTGATGTTTTATAATTTCCTGAAATATTCCTTGAATATTGGATGCTTTGATTGACTCTAAATAAAATAATGCTTCAGTATTGTAATGTTCTCCTTTGGAAAATGACACAGGTAAGTTATAATGGAGTAACTTTTCCACGTGTAACAACTACATACTGTGGACAGAATATAAATACAAATACTAAGGAGAAAGAGAGTGACCAAAAGCAGGTAGCAACTAGAAGGAATTCCTTCTTAAAATAAAGGAACTATATTGTGTAAGATTTGTATTTATAAGACTGTTGCCCGAGGGCACTTTCCTGCCCTCACAGCAGTGATCACTGAGGACTAAAGCAGGAATCTGCTGTCTTGCCAGTGGAGGAGCCAGAGGACAAAGTCTGGGGCTGCCAGACTCACTGTAAAGTTAAAGATGAAATCCAAGGAAGGGAGGTGCCACAAAATTTATGTACAAACTATGTCCAAATATTGAATGGCCTTTATCTGGAGAAGACTCCAAGGTTTCCAGAAAAAAGCAATAGCCAGAAGGTGGAAAGATCTGAGTTGAGCCTTCTAATGCTTCCTATCACAGGAGAGAGAATGTTGGGAGTTTGAATCCAGTCATGTTAACTATCTACCAGAACAACAACCAAAAACAATACTCAACAGAGGAAAATAACAGAATCCAGTCTACAATGTATCATCCACAATGCCCATTATACAAGCAAAATCTACCAGAACAGAAAAAAGGGACACAGAGTCAAGAATAAAAAACAAACGAACAAAAAAGCTCATAGAAACCAAAGCCTAAGTGATCTAGACAAGGACTTCAAAGGAGATACTATCAATATGTTCAAGTATTTAAAGGAAAATATGATCATGTTAAACGTATGCATGGGAGAAATCTCAGCTGGGCAATGGAAGCTATGAAAAAAATGGAAATTCTAGAACCGAAAAGTATATCTG